TTTTTATGGGTGACATGAATTTAAACCTTTTGAACAAGGATATACTAATTGACCTCTACTTAAACAGTTTACTTGGTTCTGGACTTGTACAGTGTGTGGACAGACCGACTAGAGTTACACAGGACACTGCCTCCTGCATTGATCACATATTTGTGCGTTACTGTGACATGGCTGCTGTGCGCGCTGCTGTACTGCACACTAGCCTCACCCCTCACCGACCACTATGCCACCGCCCTCACTATACATGACACTGCATACACTCACGCACACACACTTAACATTCACACTGCAACCGGACCTTCTCAAACTTACCTTGATCACACCCTTCTCACTCAAAATCTCTCTCAGACCGACTGGGGACCTGTCCTAAACTGTATAGATATCAATATGTGCTGTGAAATGTTTTACAAAAATCTAGATTTTGCTTTACAAAATGCAAAAAAAACTATAACTTCAAGATCATCTAGACGTAAAAGAATTAAACCATGGATTACTGACAGTTTGGTCAAATCAATACGTACTAGAGACAAATTAAGTAAAGCCGCTCGTCGTGAACCATTTAATGATTATCTACAAACTTATTATAGGAATTACAGACAAAGCCTATGCAATCTATTAAAAAGAGCCAAACGAGATTTTTACAGGGAAAGATTTTACCAGAACAATAGGAATCCAAAATTGTTTTGGGGACTGATCAATGATCTTGCTGGCAGGCCACGTAATAAAAATTCATTTCCAATTGATAAATTTATTCCCAGCATGTCTCATGATACTCAAGCCGCAAAACACGAGATAGCAGATGATTTTAATAACTTCTTTGCTTCTGTTGGAGTAAATCTATCGAGGCAGATAGATGCGGGTGGGACCCCAGTGGTTGTTGACTCTGACTACAGACTGGACTCTACTTTCACACTGCAAACTGTTTCTGCACAAGACGTACTACGACACATCTCCGAGCTGCGCGGTGGCTCAGCTCCGGGTCTGGACGAAGTTTCGGCTGATTTACTTAAACAAAACGCACTCATAATTTACATTCCGCTGCTACACATAATTAATCTATCTCTACTGACTGGTATATTCCCGGCTCAATTCAAAACTGCAAAAGTAATTCCTTTATTTAGGATTTTAGGTGATCCAAAAGACTGTAACAACTTTAGACCAATCTCATTGTTAAGCGTGTTTTCCAAGGTTTTAGAGCGTATTGTCAAGGAGCAGTTGGTGGAGTACCTTCATAATAACAATATATTATCTAATTCACAATTTGGGTTTAGAAAAGATAAAAACATCTCTGATGCACTTTTTGAAGTATGTAAATCTATAAATAACTCAATGGCAAATAACAATCGTTCTATGTTAATTTTCTTAGATTTAAAAAAAGCATTTGACTCAATTAACAGAAACTTGTTGATAGCAAAATTGGAACAGATCGGTGTCAGAGGCACTGCTCTCGCCTGGTTCAAAAATTATTTATCTGACAGACATCAAGTAGTTTCCATTTGTGGTGTGAATAGTGATGCAAATTTAATTGAGTATGGGGTTATTCAGGGAAGTACTCTGGGGCCTATACTTTTTCTAATATATATAAATAACATTTCAAAACTGAACCTGGATGGTGAACTATTTTTATTTGCTGACGACACATTAGTTTTGTTAAAGGGTCGTTCTTGGGAGGATGTCAGGTCTAAAGCTCTCCGTGACCTCTCACTTCTAAAAAAATGGATAGATCAAAATGTGCTCTCACTTAATGTGAAATCGACTAAATTTCTTCCGATATCACTCAGTACAAGCACTGATTATAGTCTAGACAATTTGAAGATTCATGGTTGCGGCGACCATAACAGTATATCTTGTAATTGTGAATACATTGAAAAAGTAGATTATTACAAATATTTAGGTGTTTATTTTGACTACCGAATGAGGTGGTCAGAGCATGTAGATTTCTTAAAGAAAAGGATTCGTAAATACATATATGCTTTTAATCAACTGAGTGTCATTTTGGACGAGGAAGACGTAAAGAGAGCTTATTTCACTTATGTACAATCCTTGATTTCATTTGGTATTATCTGCTGGGGAGCATGCTATCACACCACCTTGGAACCCTTGAATGTGGTCCAAAGATCAATTTTGAAAGTAGCTTTTAGAAAAAATAAAAGGTACTCCACTGATGCGCTATTCCGTGAGACGGGAGTATTACCAGTCAGACATATTTTCATTCAGTTTCTTCTTAGTCACACATTCAAAAACTCAAACACGATCCTTACAGCAGTCACACATCAACACTACACAAGATATTCACACAATGTTGGAATATCTGTCCCTCAGCTACATAAGTCAGTTCTAACTACCAACTGTTTTTATGTTGCTCAGATTCTATATCGAAATCTAATTCAAAAATATAATATTCAACACATTTTTAGTTTACCCTCAATACAAAAATTCAAAAAACTGATGCTTGTTTTGCTGCACACGATTACCAATGAAGAGGCCGAAACTTTGATCAGACCTAACCTTACTTGACCCTGACTAAACAATCCTTTGTAAACTCACCCTACAATATTCATTTAGGCTAGGCCTATTCTATAAATGTTTAAAGTTAATAAGTTAATAAAGATATGGATTACAAAAGGTGTTTTATTTAAACAAATGAACAATTAACATGCAATGAGAAAAGGTTTGACGTTACAATGAAAGGATTGACAATGGTGTATGGGGTTGAAATTAAATTGAAATAAGTTAAAAGATAAATTTGAATAATAACTTGAAGGTTCAAATAATTTAGATGTGATATAAGTTTATCTCAGGTTAGGGTGTCGTGCTGGCTTGAATGCTAAGAATGAATAAATTTGATAGTGTCCAAATAGGCCTAATTAATGTGTTAAACTTACACAATCTCAACAATGGAAAATCTAATTTTGGTGTTGTCCAAAAGGTAAGTCCAATTAGCACAAAATTTAAAAGAGTTTAAAGAAAAGTTTATACTTAATTTTGAAGATAATGATTGAGTTGAGTCCTCTTGAGGTTTAGGCTACTATGTGATATAACTTGAAACTGGTCTTCTTGATAAATGAATTTTATTTAACTTAGGTAAAATTTTGAGTCCTTCTTCTAACAATTTCAACTTCTCAATGGCTTCCTTCTCTCTCAATTTCAATGTTCACATCACTGATTGTTGAACACATGGGATCACTTTCACTGCTACTTAAATTTTGATTCCTTAAGGACTAATTTTGAAATGATATTATAAGAAATTTTGATGTATTGCAATTCTCTTACATATTTAATAAATAATTAGGTTGTGGGCGTTGTAAAAAAAAAATATAGGCTATGAAATGAATATTATTGATGATTAATTGAACATATTAATAAATTATATAAATTAGGAAAATGAATATTAGGACAGTCTTTCTGAGGAGTGATTATTAGGTGTATGAATAGAAGTTAACATAAAAAAAAACTTAATAATAAATAATGAATGAAATGAAATGAAATATTACACCTTGACCCTTCGACCCCATCGCCCTCACAATGTCTCCTGTCTTAGATTGCACTGGCTTTGGTTGTCGTCGCCGACATTCTCTTATCCGCTAAACGATCAAGTTAAATTAACAAGGCTTAAAAACCTTCCCAATTTTAGTGTGTGCCCTCAATTTGCTTAGACTGATAACAGCCAGGCCTACGCACAGGCACCTGCCCATGTAGGCCTATCCCATAAGTAAGGCAAATTTATTTTATTTTAGAAATATTGTACTGTTAGTTGTATAGCTACTCTCTGTTTTAGTTTATATTTTTGGGATAAATAAACGTTTTTCATTTCATTTCATTTCATTTCATTTTCATTTTCATTTCATTTCATTTCATTTCATTTCATTTCATTTTCATTTCATTTCATTTCATTTCATTTCATTTCATTTCATTTCATTTCATTTCATTTCATTTCATTTCATTTCATTTCATTTCATTTCATTTCATATATTTGTGATAGTAAATATTTCTAATCTTATTTTAAAAGTATATGTTTTAAAAGTAAAACATTTTCCTTCAATAGGTACATTGCCAATAATTCAAATTGAATGGCAATTATTCTATTTTAGTTATTTTATTAATCATTTGTATTTTACTAGCAGTTATACATTCCCTAGTAAAAAAATTATCAATTGTTATTTTGCTTAATAGAATTACTTTGTTACTTTCCAATATCCTTATCCGTCTGGTCGAACTACACGTTAGGTGTCAACTGCCACATCATCACCATAAAGATTTCTTTGTGTTTTCAATTTTAAATGTAACTTAAGTCGAATCGTAGATGAGGATGAACCTGATGATTTGACAGTTGTCATGAAACAATAACTTTGTCAAGGAGGATAAGCATATTGTAGGGTAAACAAATAATTCCTTTAATATAAATCAATATCCAGAAGTAGGACAATGAATTATGTTATGGATTTTGGTTATGTGGTGTCATCAAAAGTTCCATAAGTGTTTTGTTTTAATCTAAAATATGTACCATTATCTTCTGACCAACAAAAGAGATAAAACCTTCCGTTATATAAATCATATTTACATTTTAAAAAACTAATCAAAAACTTAACTAATGCCTCAAATTTATTTTCGTAAGAAAATTCAAATCATTACATATTACAAATTTGACTTTTTAAAGTTATTGTTTCCTCAATTGTACTCAAATATCTAGGATATTTAATTTTATCCATCAATTCGCTGTATTTTCTAACTTATACAAACTACTGTATACAGAGCTATCAATCAAATTCATTTTATTACAGCATTAGTAAATTCATTACCACCATTTTTTTTTTAGATTCTGATGCATAACTTTTTTTGAAAAATCATAATCAATAAGAGTACAAGCTTTTGCATCCTGAGTTGTGGGTGTGCAATGCAGTTCTGATCATTTTAATAGCAAGAGTAAATTATTCTATTTAAGCTAAAACTCAAGTTAATACAAGCTCATTTTAAGAGTTAAATACTCTCTGTTGTTTTAGGGGGCTGACAGAAATTGCAACAAACTTCTTTCTGGTGAGTTTACTAAATAATATAAATTAATAAATGCTCTTGTCAATATATCAACACTAAAAACTTACAAAATTTGACCAGGCACCCCGATCATAACTTTTTATCAATCTTCATTTGTTTTTCCGTCAAGGCCCATTTATATGTTGTTACGGATTTCAGTTCTGAACATGGTCAGCCAACTCTGTCTGCCGACTATGCGCGGACAGTCGACAGACAGTTGAAAGACAGTTGACACACAGTAGTTATATCCTGTGCGGGGTTTATTTTTCTGAACCATGGACCTAATAAATCTAGGAAAAGACGATGATGGACCCAACATTTTCTGGAGAAAGTTTCGTACTATGGTCACAATATTCTATCACACCTTCAGATTAGGTGGAGGATTTAGGAACTTTGAAACGAGGTTAACTTCTAAAGATTTGGAAATTTTGCTGGGCTTTGTTGGTAATAAGATTTTAAACTTTAAGAGATGTACAATTCAATAAAATGTCATATAATAATATAAATTATTAACAACGAATTCCAAAACTTTCAAGAAACTCCATCCAGCTATTTCATTACCGCCCAAAAATCGTAATATTACCGCTTTACAGTCTAACTAAATGGGCTGAACGTTGAACACCTTCGGCTTGTTACCAGTCTCCTGTCTCCAGACACGTCCACTTATGCAGACTTTAGACAAAAGTTTTGTCTCTTGCCTCCGTGTTTCCCGTTCGAACGGACAACAGAAAACACTGTATTTTGTCTCCAAAAACACCGAAATTTGTCGGCCGACTTACTGGAGACAAAAGGCAACACGCCGGAGACAGTCGGCAGACAATGTTTCCGCAGAGAAATCGTCATGTGTGTACGGGGCCCTACCAGCATTGACGAGTTTTGCCTCTCGACGAGGGTTGTGTAGCGACATCCACTCGGACTGCGGAACAAATTATGTAGGTGCTGCTAATGAAGTTCAAAAGGTTTTAAAGAAATTCTTTATTCAGAAAGAAACTCAAGAAGCTCTTAGTAAGTTTTCCATGAAAAAAAAAACATTAAATACGTTTTTTTACGTTTTTAGTTAGTGAGTCGGTGGCTCAGTCGGTAGCGTCGCGGACTTCGGGCCCAAGGCAGTAGTGTCGTGGGTTCGGATCCTGGTCACTGCTGATAACATTTTATCAGTACAGTTCACCTTTGTACTGTACCGGCTCACTCCTTGCTTTGCTGTAAACGATCCACGCACGGGCGCTTAGTCTATGTGGACGGGCAAATGCAAGGTTAAAAGAGGCCGCCAACCTCTTTAAAAAAAAAAAAAAAAAAAAAAAATAATAATAATAATATCATTTCTTACCCCCCTGCTGCTCCGCACCAAGGTGGCCTTTGGGAGAGAACTTTCCGTAGTGTCAAACACCATCTTCGGAGAGTCATAGGTGAATAGATTCACTCTTGCAGAGTTCATCCCATTAACTCCACTACCATCTGACCCCAGCGAAATTGATTGCTTAACTCCGGGCCATTTTCTGATTGGAGGACCTCTTTTATCTCTTCCCGAATCTGACTGGAAATATGTTTCAACAAACCGATTGTCAAGGTGGAAGTTCGGTCAAGCCTTAAACCAAAGGTTTTAGGAAAAGATGGCAACAAGAATACCTCTACACGTTGCAACAACAAGGGAAATGGAGAATTCCTCAACGTAACATCAAAACTGGAGATCTTGTCCTATTGCACGAACCAAACCAACCTCCCCTTTCATGGCGAATGGGACTTGTCATTTCAACCTCCCCAGAGCAAGATGGTCTTGTACGAGTTGTACAATTATTGAAAACTTCAACAGGAACACTCTCCAGACAAATAACTAAAGTCTCAACGCTTCCAATCAATGATGAATAATGAAAAAAGTTAGACTGTTAACCATCCGTTTATTGTAAATATGTCCATTTCTAAAATACATTTTTTTCTCAATACTTGATTATAAGGTGACCCCCTCTTAGTGGTTCACGGGTGGGGGTATGTTCTGTAATCTTCAGTATCTTTTAGCGAATTTCCCATAAAGGGAATAAGCTATTACCGTAGTACTCATAGTAAGACCTGGACGTGGGACCGATTTTTTGTCGTTTTGAGGACCCTAGAGGATAAAAATACCATCCGTTCAAATGCATATATATATATATTTATTTATATATATATTTATATTATATATATATGTATTTTATATATATATATATATATATATATATATGTGTGTGTGTGTGTGTGTGTGTGTGTGTGTGTGTGTGTGTCCGTGAGCGCGATAACTCGAGCAAAAATGATCCGATTTTGATGAAATTTGGTACAAACGTGTAAACCTACGTTTTTTCGAACGAGTTCGCGATCCAGCATGATTGGACCATGGGAACGGGGGCTTACGGGGGCTTTCATGGGGTAAAAATAGTTTTTTCCCATTTTTGACCCAAAAAACAAAATTTAGCAACATTTCAGTGTAAATCCAATCAGTCAAATGGAAATTTGCTTAGTCTGCAGGTTTGCTGCGGCGGGGGGTATTTAATTTGTTATAGTATTTCTTTCTTGTTTTCTGTAATCTTCAGTATCTTTGTGATTTGTTATAGTATTTCTTTCTTGTTTTCTGTAATCTTCAGTATCTTTGTGATTTGTTATAGTATTTCTTTCTTTTATCTACAAAGAAATACTACAGATGGCATTGATTTTATACTTTTTCTAATGTTTAAAACACCATGTGATAAACAATGAACTAATTCTTTTAGTTGAAATTAAAAACAACAAGAATGAAGATCCCTGTCCCTCTTTTGTAACGTAAATGTAAAGTTCTGTGAAATTGCTCAAAGTTTAGTTATTATAATAAAACGATTTGTCATTTGTATCTCCCAGTATTCGTACTTTGCGTCATAAAGTATGAAAACCCCGCTTATGTTATCGTCCACCAACGCATCATGACTCAAGACGACCGCAACAAATACCCCCTACCTTGTTAAGGAGGTTAAACAATATTTTTGTTGTAAAGAAATGCGGAATCTTTGTTAACAATCAATGCCATAAGTGGAATATTTTTTATCTATTTCGGTTGAAAAAAATACAGATTTGTTTGTGAAATTGGTGCTTTTTTACATGAATCAAATTTTGGAATACCTGTCATTTTGTCTAGAGGTTAGATATCCACCTCAGGTTTGTGACATTGTGTTTCTTTTGACAATTCTTTCGAAATGAGGGGTCACTCAATAGAGGTTGCTATTTTTAAAAAATCGCCCCCTTATCCATCTCCTTGTTAAGGGGGTTAAAAGTATTTTTTATGTAAAAAAATTGCTGATTCTTTGTTAAAAATCAATCCCACAAACAGAATATTTATATTTATTTTGGTAAAAAAATGATTTTGTTCAATACTTAATTTACACACTGTATGCTGAAACCATAATTTATTTTTATCTATGTTAGAAAGCTTGCTCAGTCAAAATTTGGCACCTGGCTTAATCCTTTTAGTTACAAATTGACAAACAATTGTAAAAAGTTGAAAATATATCAAAAAGTCCGTTGTAGGCCTGTTGTTTGAAAAGATGTTTTTGAAAAATAGGAAGACTAAAAGAAGCCTGCTGATACTGCAAATTTGTCTACTGCATTTATTATAGAAGCAAAAAAAAAAATAAAATAATAATTATTATTATAATACCCCCGCCGCAGCAAACCTGCAGACTAAGCGAATTTCCATTTGACTGGTTGGATCTACACTGAAATGTCTACTTAAAAATATAACATTTATTCTCTATTTAAATAGAATTAGTTTAACTAGTACTTAGGTTTGATGCATCAGAGAGGGTAAAACAGTTTTTTTTTTTTTGTAAAACGTTAATAGTTAGTAAGAAATAAAATCATTTTCCAAATTTGATCGAAATATGTTCATAAACAAGCAAACTACAACAATTTACTTATTCTCCATAAGAATAACATGGGAATTTTAAATTTACAATTTTTTGGAATTTTCTCCGTAACCATTAGGCGCTTAATAACGCTTCAATATACTAAATTATTAGTTTTTTTAAGCTCTGCAAAATGGTTTGGAAAGAAATTGCTAAATTTTATGATTTTTGGGTCAAAAATGGGAAAAACCTATTTTTACCCCATAAAACCCCCCGTAAACCCCTGTTCCCATTGTCCGATCATGCTGGATCGCGAACTCATTCGAATAAACGTAGGTTTACACGTTTGTACCAAATTTCATCAAAATCGGATCATTTTTGCTTGAGTTATCGTGCTAACGGACACACACACACACACACACATATAGGTATATAATATATATATATGTTTATATATATATATATATATATATATATATATATTTATGAATTTGAACAGATGATGTTTTTGACCTCTAGGGACCTCAAAATGAAAAAAATCGGTCCCGCGTCCAGGTCTTACCATGAGTACTACGGTAATAGCTTATTCCCTATATGGGAAATTCGCTAAAACTAAATTGATATGTATAATTCAACCGGACATGATCTGGATAGTGATATTACAAAATACATGTACAGAATTTTTTTGTAAAATATGTTTACTACTGATGATTATGACAAATTCTACCTCTTCTCATTTCCCCCTAACATAAAATAATGCCTAATCTTATGCATATTTTCAGGAAAAACAATTTCATTCGATGCCATTGGGGATATTGAAAAAAAAGGCCCTGTCGAGATCTTTACAAATCATTTGGAAGATGAACCCTACATACTGTACAGGTTTACAGATTCTATTGTGATCGCATCGTCTAAGAAAGGCCCTATCGTTACTGTTAATATGTACTTGAATATAGATTCACAATTTTACGCCTTCCTCAATACACGAAAGAGCAAGGAATATTTGTCTATTGGATTCTCATGGTCTATAAGTGAATGGTGCAGGTATGATATTTGTGTCAGTTGCAATGGCAAAGATCGGAAACCAACTGTAAACCGGGATAAACGACCAGACGTTGACTTCTTCAAGTGGTCCAAGGTAAGTGGATCATTTACTAATGCTAGAGATTATGTGACTTGGTTTGCACTCCGACGCAAGCTGTTGATCGCTTTAGTTTTTATCTGAAAGTATTTAGCTGCATGGGAAATGTAATTTACTTAACAGAAAATACTCTTAGCCTAGCTACTAAGTTAAATAACTAAACTAATTATAGTTATTTGTAACCCGCTTCCGGGTGTGTTTCGTTAATTTGTCGGGTCGGGGCGTTACGCGTCCCTGATAGCCTAGCCGAGCTGGGTTATTCCGGGGGTCAATTTTGGTCGAGTTTCCCGCTTTTGTCTCCTAAAGTCGTTTTCCTGGCTCAGGCGGGAATGTTATGCCTCTTGGCTTTATTCGTGCCTCATCATCGCCAGGAAACGAGTGAATAAAAGAGGGAGGGCGAGATTTTGTTTCGCAGTTATAGCTTCGTGCGCGACTCTGTTCACAACCTCCTCGGTGGAGTGTTAATTATTTATTTAATTTAATACCCTACGTCCGTGCGCCACGGACCGAACAGAATCAGTTTAGATGCGTCTTTATTATTTAAAATAATACAATGCGTTTTGGGCGAGTAGACTAGTTCAGAGCCCCGTGAGAGAGTAGGAATATGGAAAGGTGCAAACGAACATACAGAGTAGGGCGGGGAAGGATCGTTAACAGAAAGAGTAATATACGAGACACACACACACACACACACAGACAGAGGTTGAGCACACAAAGACTTATTTCAAATAGATTAAGCCTAACTAAAAACTAACTTAATTATTCCCAGATTTTCCGGGATAGCTTAGGTCTAACTTATAAATAACTTATTTCCGGGTTTTCCGGAATAGGTTAAATCTAGCTTATTTCCGGTGTGCCCGAAGTAATTAAAGCTAACTTATAAATAACTTATTTCCGGGTTTTCCGGAATAGATTAAATCTAGCTAATAACTAACTTATTTCCGGGTTTTCCGGAATAGGTTAAAGCTAACTTATAACTAACTTATTTCCGGTGTGCCCGAAGTAATAGAGAAAGAAGAAAAAGCTACTTAGCAAACTACAGCTAACCAAAGCAGTTAGCTGCACACACACAACACATACAACACACAGATCACTCGATTAGCGAGAGCACACGAATCAAGGAAATGGTGAAGAATGGAAACAGAAGTTGGTGCTTAACTGACTAACGTCACGGCGAATTAAAATTCCCAAAGCCAATACGAATCCCCAAAGCCTTAGTTAAGCGTTAATAGTCAAAGGTTAAGCAAAGGTTAAAAAGCGTTATGCTAAGATTTGAAGCAATTTCTAAGGTTAGTGTGTTAGTAGCGGTGTCGTATCATAAGTTAGAATTTTAAATGCATATTGTTCAACACATCAATAATTAGTGGAAGGCTAAATGAATAATTAATAATGAAGTGGTAAATATAGTAAAGCAAATACACAGAACATTAACACTTAATAGCGGCTAAACAACGACATAGAACATAACTACTGTGCACTGGTTCTAGTATAAAAGATAATGAATAGCTACAATGGTTAGTGTAGTTCTGAAATATGTACAAACAAATTAAAGCGTGTTAGTTAGTGTACTATTTTACTAAGAATTAAGTGAATGCACTGTTTTATGTCATAACTCAAACTCAACTAACTTTATTTACCTTTTTACAAACATAGAATAACAAATAAACATATAATAATAATTAATAGAAATTAACAGGTGTTATGAAATAAACTGTTCTCACAACATCCTCCCTTTTAAGTTTGAAAGTTCTTCAACCAGCTTGGTTTGTGTATATTTCTCTTTGGACGGTTGTATGGTTCTGTTTGATGTGTATTCGCTGACAAATTTTGTTCACTGTTTTCCTCTCTTAAATAAGGGGCAAGTTTGAGGTGGAATCGATTTCTTCTCACATTCCTCTTATCAGTTTCAACAATATATGAACGAGGGCTGTCCAGGATTTTCACAATTTTGCCATGTCTTCTAAGGTCCACAATCCAAACTGGGTCTCCTATATGAAGAGGTTTGAGATTTTGCACTTTGTGCCTTCTAGCATAGTTGTGTTTGTACTTCTCACGATATGTTTCTTCTCTCCCTTTAAGATCCTTTAGATCTGGTTTTCCACAAAGCAAATGTCCTGTCTGAGGCAAAGTGCTCCGTAATCGCCTGTTCATAAGAAGCTGAGAGGGACTGAACCCATTCCAGAGGGGTGTCGTTCGATAGGCTAGAAGCGCTAAATAAGGGTCTTCCACATTTTTCTTTAGAATCATTTTGGCGATTTTCACTGCCGCTTCAGCCTCTCCATTGCTTTGGGAAAATTTTGGGCTACTTGTTATATGCTTGAAGCCATAAACTTTGGAAAATGTCTTGAAATCTGAATGTTCAAGGACTTGAAATTGAGACCCACAGTCAGACCTAATTTCTTCTGGAATGCCGTGTCGACAGAAAAAGGCTTTGCATCTCATCATTACTTCTCGTGATGTTAATGACTCTAATTCAGCTATCTCAAAATATCTGGAGTAATAATCTGTCACAGTCAAAAACCAAACGCCTTCAACTTTGAACAAATCCATCGCAAGTGTTTTCCATGGCCTGTCAGGGAATTGTGTGGGAAGCAATGGTTCATGACTGTTCCTTGAATGTTTAATACAAGTAGGGCATGATTTCACCATACTTTCAATGGCTGAAGAAATTCCTGGCCACCAGACTGACTCTTTTGCACGTAAACGACACTTGGTGATTCCAAAATGACCTTCATGTACTCTTTGAAGTGCCCAAGACTGCAGAGCTGACGGAATTACAAGTCTTGAACCTCGTAGTATCATCTCATTATCAACACTTAGCTCATCCTTAACTGAATTATACGGTTTTAGGTCATCTCGTAATGATGTCTTAGAAGGCCAACCTTGGATGATTATTTTTTTCAGTTCACGTAAAGTCGGATCTTTATTTTGTTCCTCCAATACTTTAGCAACTATGCAGTCGTTTATATCGATGGACGACAAAACCATTTGAACAAACGCTTGAGTTTCTTCTTCTAACTCACGGTCATCAGTACCTGAAAATGGGAGAGGTGCTCTTGAAAGAGCATCAGGAACTAGAAGCTGCTTTCCAGGAATATAAGTAATTGAAAAATCATATCTCATGAGACGCAATCGAATTCTTTGAATTCTTGGAGACAATTCATCAAGATGTTTGGATTTCAAAATTTGAAGTAGTGGTTTGTGATCTGTTTGTATTGTTATTCTCTTGCCAATAATAAATTCTTGAAACTTTTCACATGCCCAAGCAACAGCTGTAGCCTCCCTCTCGATGTTTGCATAGTTTTTTTCAGAAGGAAGAAGGCTTCGGGATGCAAATGATACTGGTCGTATAGAACCATCATCTTGAACTTGAGAAAGAGTTGATCCTAGTCCTTGAAGCGAGGCATCACAGGAGATAATTGTTTCCCGATTTACATCGTAAATGGCTAGGCAACGAGAGTTAGTCAAAATGAGTTTTATTTCATCAAAGGCCTTCGCCTGCTCTGGACCCCATATCCATGGAACGTTAGCTTGAAGTAGTGAATTCATTGGGGCCAAAATCTTAGCTTTGTCAGGAATAAACTTACCAAGAAAGTTTACCATCCCATTGAACCTTTGAAGTTCTTTTACGTTTTTTGGGCAGTCCATTTTGAGAATGGCGGAAACCTTTTCCTTATCAACAGAAATTCCATCGGATGAGAGGAAATGCCCGAGGAATTTAATACTTGACTTCCCAAACTCAGTTTTGTCTTTGTTAAGTGTCATTCCTACATTTTTAAGCTTTTCAAGTACTTGCCGGACAACTGTATCATGTTCTTCTTTCGTTTTGCCCCAAATCAGAATATCGTCCATATGGACTGCGACATTTGATTGGTTGTCTAAGATTTTGTTCATGCATTTCTGAAAATGTTCAGGTGCTGATGTGATTCCAAATGGAAGTTTGAGAAATTTAAAACGTCCAAAAGGGGTAAGGAAAGTAGTTAGATCCTGGGAATTTACATTTAAGGGGACTTGCCAAAAACCACTGTTTGCATCAAGTTTTGAAAACCATTTTGCTCCTGATATTGAGCTGAGAGACGTTTCAATTTTGGGAATCGGATGATAAGACCGCTGGATGGATTCATTCAACTTTGTTAAGTCAACACATATGCGGACATCTCCATTAGATTTAGGCACTACTACCATTGCTGAGCACCATTCAGTAGCATGCTCAACTGGTGTGATTACATTATTTTGTACCATACTTTCTAGTTCTTTTTTCACTTGACACATTAGAGGTAAAGGTACTGTCCTAGGAGTGGTTATTGCGTATGGCTTTGCGCCATCCTTAAGTGCTATTGTGTAGGGATCAGGAATGACGCCCAGACCACTAAACATTTCATGGTATTCGGTAAAAAAGTCACTGTCTACCTCTGCAACTGAATTAACAAAAGTTAAAATTTTCAAGTCCTGTATTGCTGGACGACCAAGCAAGGGTGTTATGAGTCCCTTCACTACGTATACCATGTGATTTATTTTAACATCTCTGTATTGGATATTAGCTCTAACACAACCTACAGTTTCTAATTTTGTTCTACCAGCCCCATACAACTCAACTAGAGTCGGCTGGATCCTACTTGGATCAACTATGCCAGGGGGAATTACTGTTACATCTGCCCCTGAATCAATTTTAAATGTTTGTGGTTTTCCCTCAAATACTAATTCTAGTTTCCAGGGCTTACATTTTGACCCATCCCCAAGTGTACCTATGAATACTTTATTATTTGAAGGTCCAAGTTCACTTACTTCATTTTCGTCAGTTACTTCCTGTGCTTCTTTAGATCTGCAGACCTTCGAAAAGTGACCAATCTTTTTGCATAAGTTACATGTTGCGCTTTTTGCTGGACACGTGCTTCTTGGATGGGACGGTTTATAACCACACCAGATACATTGCGCTGGGTATTCTTGTTTCTTTTGACGAAACCTATATCCTTGATTTTGGTTTGAACTCGATGACG